AGAAGAGAAGCTTGTTGTTACCCTGCAACATAAGCAGTTTGGTTTACCCTATCAGAACCTTTCTTTAGCAGCCATACTAATATTTCAGTTCACTCATGTTAGAAAACTGCTTCTATTATTTCAAACATAAATGTTTGGGGGGTTTTATTGCTGTTTCATACCTATAATTTCATGGTGCTTCAACCTATGTGCCGAAATACAGTTTTCTCAATTGATAGGAAGGAATTTAGGATTGTTGAAAATTTTGCTTCAGGAAATCTGTGTTGGTTTCCAGCTGTTCTTGTAGTCACTGATGTTAAGTCTGTAAACATATTCTTTCCTGTAAACATATTTGAAGAACTTCATTTTTCTTCCCATATCAATAGGCAAGTGAAGGACCAAAATAAGAAGGTAGCAACTCTGAAGCATAAGGAGCAAGTGGAAAAGAAGAAGAGTGCACAGATGCTAGAGGAGGCCCGCCGAAGGGAAGACAACCTCAATGACAGCTCCCAGCAGCTGCAGGTCAGAGCGCGTAGAGGGCGGGCAACTGCTTAGTCACACGTTTTCTTTTCTTTTTTAATCCTCCTATTACTCCTCTTTCTGCTTGTTGCCTTCCTCTCAGGTCAGTTGTTTAACAATCAAGGAATGTCTTTAAATAGAAAAGACAAATTTTATTCCACAGCTTTGTGAAGACATCTCACCTTAAGAGAAAATTCATGTTGCTTCCAGTTGTTTTCACTTGATTGGTAAGTTCTGTGTCAGTTTAATGAGTGGCTTATATTAAGCTTCAGGGTTGTTATTGTAATCCTTTGCCTATTCCAATTATTAAAGTGCTTTGCTAATCCTGGTTTTTGTCTGTTATCCTTACTTCTATACTTCCTTTTTCTTTTCCTTATATCTTTCTTTACTCCCACTAGTTTTTTTATTTTTTTTATTCTATTTAAAAATTTCTGGACATGGTGGTGCATGCCTGTAATCCCTGCCCTCAGGGAGACTGAGGTAGAAGGATCATTGCGAGTTTGAGACCAGCCTGGGCTGCAAAGTGAGCTCAAGGCCAGCCTGAACTGCATAGGGAGACTGTTTCAAAATGAGAAAACAAAAGAGAGAGAATATTCCGTAGTAGTAGTGGACATTATTTTTCACCTGTAAGGAATGAAACCTAAGCCTGCTTATTCACAGATAAACTAAACCAGGCCCATTAACAATAGTAGCAGCTACCAAATGATAAATGCCAATTAGTTTCTTACTGTTTAAATAAGG